TAAGATGACAAGGAACAATGTGGTAACCATCACTATCTCACATCTTGAATACAATAGAAACTGTGGCATATGGAAAACTCACCATAGCAATAGTATAGTAGAGCAATAATAACAAATAAAAGTAAGAACACAGTCATTGTTATCCCAGACAATGAGCAGAGAGCATGGAAAGCAGACAATAGTCACCTGTAGGGCATAGGATTCTTTAGACAGTATATAAGGCAGTAGTACACACTGATGTACCTCAGTCCTGAGCTAAGATTTAATACACCTACTACACTCTCTGACTATCTAGTGTGAATACTCTTGCCACAATGGCAGACTATATCTACCAGCCACACCTCTTTATCTCTCTCCATGAAATCCTTATAGCTTATCTCATCATCCTCATCATACTTTTATATTGAAACCAGACCCAGACTCAGCATCTAGAATTGGACCCCAGCAGAAGCAGTACTAGAGATTTGTGAGTGTTAGTGAAAGCCTAACAGAATGATGATATATTCACTGTCCCTCTTATAAACCCAGACACTATGCTTGCATTTCACTTATTCAAAACTCATAGCATTAGTCAATGTTATATGTAGCTCTTTGTGTCATTCTCTCTCAGCTTGCTTTAGTCCATATAGAGACTTAAAGAGGTGTCAGACCTATTCCTTTCTTTTCTTCTCAAAACCTTCTGGTTGCTCTATATACACCTCTTCTGTCAGCTCACCATTGAGAAATGCTGATGAGATGTTAACATTCTATAGCTCTAAATCCTTGAGAGCACCAAGTGCCAGGACAGCTCATAGTGCAGCCTATTTTGGTGTTAGAGAGAAGGTTTCAGTGTAATCAAAACCAGGTCATTATGAGTATCTCTTTACAACTGGCCTTGCTTTATGGCACTCAATTGATCTATCAGCATTGCATTTCACTTTGAATACTCAGTGACTTCTAACTGCCTTTTGATTTGGAGGACATTTCACTAATTCAAAGACATCATTTTCAACAAGTGCCTGTATCTTCTGCATGGTGGCTTCATACCAACTTGCAGCTTCCTCTGGAGGACATTTCATAGCTTCATGGAAGGATCTACATTCACTATCATATGTGGATGTCTTACAAGCTGTTTCTGTCATGCTCTCAAATGCAACTTCCAGTCTTTCCTTTATTGTCAAGTGCTCTATTTTCTGGCTGAAGAAAGCTATGCCTTTAAGAATAGTTTTGTCTTCTATAAAGGCTGTATGTGCTTGATTCTCTGCATTTCTTGTATGATTATCATTGTTGACATTTCAGTGCATTCCACAGCTATAACCAGAGCCAGAATCATATAGACCATCGTCATGTATTCTGTATTCATGTTTGCCTAAGTCTGTTGGAGAAGATGATAATAGTGATAGAGTTAGGTCTGAGAGAGATCTATTAAATAGTGAGCCAGGAGAGGTCATAACATCATGAAGAAGAGGTGATGCTGGAGGTGGTAGACTTAGAGGAGATAAGAGATTCAGTGCTGGAGGATTTTCTGGTGTTGGATAATCATTATTGTTGAGGTCTCTATTGATCAGGCAGTATAGAAGGATCTGATAGATTTGAGAGTGAAGAAAATAGATCACCAAAGGGGTTAATAAGGGTTTTTGTATTTCCTGAAAACATCCACTTATCAAAAACAACATGGCTTGATATAATGAACTTCTTGGTTACAGGTTCTCAGCACTTCCATGCCTTTGTATCTGATGGATATCCAACAAATATGCATTTGGTGGTGTATAGCTGAAGGCCTTGTCACTTGTTCTTTTTGATATAGACATAAGCTAAGCAGCCAAAGATATGCAAGTTAGGGATATTAGATTTCTTCTTATGCTAGCCAGTGTATGGTATTGTTTTAGAAAGTGATGCTGTAGGGCAACAGTTGTGCATATATACAAATGCAAGCACTACTAGTCTCCAGAAGAAGAAAGAGAGACAGGTTTCATAGAGCATAGTAATAGCCCCTTCAGTGATATCATAATTTGCATGTTCTGCAATTCTATTTTGATAAGGCTCATCAGGCTCAGTATAGCATCTTGATATCCCTTTGTCTATACATAACTGATCAAATTCACAACTCATATACTCTCTTTTATCATCATCTTGCTTCTCTAAGATCTTTAGGCTATAGAAATTTTCAGCATAGGCTTTGTAGTGTTTAAATTCAACCAGAGCATCACTTTTGTGCTTTAGCAAGGCAACAGCTCAAAAACATGGAGCATCACATATAAATGTGATCCAGTAGTGGTAACCTTCTAGTGTAGCAACTGGCATGGGTCTCTTAAGATCAGAGAATATAATTGTGAGAGGGTGTGTTAAAAAGAGTGAGGGCTCTTGAGAAATATTATATTGCCTGTGCTTATCCATCAGGCAGAGTTCACAAATTGAGTTGAGACTGGATTGCATATTGTTCATTTCATATTTAAGATAAGCTAATTCTCATATATGTCTCAGACAATGTTTATGCTTCTGTAATAGGTTCATCAATGCTATAGAGTCAGATTAAGTAGACAGATGCTCACAGCATTTAAGATTACTGGCCTTATAGTGTGAGTGATGCCATTAAGATATCCAATATTGTTATCATTGATAGTGGCTGAGAAATAAAGCACTTTGTCTTAAAAAAACTAAACAGATGATCTGACTATATTGATCTTATATTTCTTATGACATATAAGATGAAAGGGTAAAAGCAAGTTATTGCAAAGATCAGATACATGCAGTACATCCTAAAACTTGACAGCCTCACAGACCTCCCCACTCCTCTCTTTAGGCTCAAACATAACTGTCCTTATACCTACTAAATAGATGACTGAGTTGTTCACTAACTGAATTGAAACTATGTGGCATCCAGACATGAAACCAGTCTTGACAATAGCTTATGTGAGATAAAGCATCTGTATCCATATTCCAGTTAGATGATGCTGGAGACAAGAGATCAATACTCACTTGACTGGTGGTCTCTTCTACAATATTTGACTTCTCTGTCTTTACCTCTTCTACCTTCTTGTCTGATTTTATATTCTGATATTTCTGAGCATGCTGCATAGCTTACTCTTTGGCCTTCTTTTTGCTGAAACACTTCTCCTTGGTATGTCTAGAGTTGGTGCATCAGCTGCAAGTGGTATCAGATAATGCCACATAAGTGGCTTAGACTCTAACAGTGCTCACTTTGAATGATGTTGCTGAAATGGTATCATAAGAGCAGTGCTGCATCTCTTTAGTGTGAAAGACAGCAACAAGTTTGTTGAGACTGAGAGGATAGAGGAAAAGGACCAATGACATGAAATTGTCATAATCAGATAGGAGAGCACAGATGAGAGTCATAAATTGGAGCTCTTTGTTGAGTTGATTGATAGTGAACTTTTTAGGATGGAATGCTTTGATGTCCTGTATAACCTGTGAGATATGTCTAACAAGAGTAGAAGGAAACTCTTTATCATTCTTCTGAATGCTGAATAAGACATCATAGGCATTGAAATAGATGTCTGATTTTTACTGTTGGTGAATATCTTTCAGTTTTGACTATATAGCCATGAGCTTGTCTATGAGAAGACTGATATGAGCACACCATAATTCATCAATGCAAAGCCAGAGGTATTCTGCTGCAGATGAATGAGCCTGAAGATAAGCCTTTATCTCCTTCTTTTTGAGCTTATGGATTCACTGGAGCCAACTTGCTCTGATAGCTCCTCAGTGCTATTAAAGTGGCCAAATAGCTCCTTGATACACATGTAGGTCTCAAACAAGAGTGCAAAGTGGTTCTGATTGCCAGCACAGATGTCATTGACACCACTAAATATAGCATTCCCAACCTCCATGTCAGCAATTAGAACTATTTCACACTCTTGTTTGAGGCCTACATGTGTATCAAGGAGCCATTTGGCCACTTTGATGGCACTGAGAAGCCACCAAAACAAGTCAGCCCTAATGAATCCACAAAGCTTGAAAAGAAGGAGATAAAGGCTTACTTTCAGACTTGTTTGGTGGTGTTAACAATGTCTGAATCATTCATCATGATGTGAGAAAAAAAAGAGACTGTTGGAATTAAAGTGTGTGATGGCCTGTGATAGATGGATGCAACTTCCAAATGGATGGTAATGTCTCTTGGAAAAGTGAGCAAGACTTCAACATCTAGTGAATGGTTTGCAAGAGAGAATGAAAATTTTGTTTGGCTTAGTAAGATGCAGAGCCTATAACCTGTTGAAAGTAGGTTGTGTAGCACAGAGGGAGAAGCCAGGTCTGGAGTCAAAGGTCAAAAGCTGAGAAGTGCTGACCTTCAATCTCCAGTATTGGTAGCTGTGATTATATAAGATAAGAGTGACATGGAGGGTGTTCCACTCCAACAATCTTGTCATTATTCATGGTGATCTTTCCGAGAAAGCGTCTTTTAAGCAGCATCCAGCGACGATGAACAAGAGCCTCCATTCGCCTCGTGTCTTCAATCCAAGGGAATAATCGCTAACGGTTCGCAGACATGAATGTCAACAACTACCAATTACGTTGACAATGATCATGTTGGCTTGGCGGCTGTTTTCCAAGGATTTTTGGCATTGATTCTCAGTCCGGAAAGGGATATCGCGTCAGCTTTTGAAGATAGGTGCTACAAGCAAGATTCGCTGTATGCGCGTCGCCCTATCCACATCAAGCTCCATTTAAACGGAGTGAGTGTTGATACGAGAAGAATATCGAATACGTTGGTCGGCTCGGATGTTTACCCCTGACATAACAGTACGAGTACATGAAATGGACCTTGAATTTGGCTATCCTCGTTTTCCGATCAGTTTTCTTACGACTGAGGACAGGTTAAGATTATTCCTTACAGGAAAAGAGAAACAATGTATCTTGCTACACGAATTGAATAGGCTTTCCTGGTTCTAGGACAATAGAGCAGTATCATAAGTAATCCAGGATTGAAATTGCATAAGAGTAACCCACACATTTTTTTAGCCCATTGCCATCCTGGATAATTCTCTAGATAACGACTGATTTTAGAGGTACAGTGTCCGTCCAGACCACCTCGTTACCATGCGGTCCTGAGATTCGCGAGAAGACTTCATGCGCACGCCACCGCGCTCCATTACGCGGTCAAGCAGTAACATCAGGTGCATCTATGCAGATGGTTGGGAAATCAGAACGCCGCCTTCTCCATGTGTACCTCGAGACGTCTCCAGCTCCTCTAGTCATAATTTCGGTGACATTACTATACGCCGCAGAGTCAGACCCGAGATTACGTCACAAAATTTGACGCTAGGTCTGTCGCGGGGTTGTTTGACCAGCGGGTGAACGGGTACGAGGGTCACCAAAATGAAGACCTGGCGAAATCCTAGTATGAAATTTTGAGCGTACGCCTCTTCCGACGACCGTTCTCTGGTACGGCATTGACCATTGCCTTCGTGAGAACACTTGTTTGCTCTGCACAAGTGAAAACCGGGAATTTCTGCAGTGTACTGTTCAGATACTTATCGAAAGCACGAAAACGAAATGATTACGTACCTTGATCCTTTGCGGTGGACGTGTGAAGCGAGGTTGATGCTGCGCCACAGGATCAGACGCCATGTCCCTCACAGGTATTCGTTTGACCAGTCGATGAACGGTACGAGGGCCACCAAAAGAGAAGACTACGAAGACCAACTCCTGACGAAAGCGAGGAAAGAGGTCGGTCCTTTCCGTGTCAGATATACGTGTGGCGGGCCAATCGAGGAGATAACTTGAGGGCAAGGAAATCTTATCGTACATGCACCAGGTAGTGATATACACCAACCTAAGAGATAAATCTCAGCCTGAGAATTAACCTCGAATGAAGTAGGACCCACCTTGGCCGTGGTTTGCCAGACGTCTGAGAAGAAAACAAAGGCTCGTCTTCAGGGCTGGTCATTTGTAATTAGTACAATGACCACACCAACCTGCCAGTTTCCAATGAACTCACCCCATGACATAGAGAACTGGGAGATACCAGTATCGGAGGCCCAAGATTGGACCTATACCCTTGTGAGTACGATCGCATATATCAAGAAGTCGTCACTGATCGCCACATTACAGATCGAGGTCTTGAGTTTCGGGAATGTTGTAGCTTTGAGGGATAGGGTTTTGGCGACTCCTCTGAGTGAGAGGGGTGTGATACTGCTTACTTGCGAGGGTGAAATTTTGGTGAGTGCATCATACTGGTACAGAACTAGGGAACTCATTGGTAGTAGAGCAATCACATGAAGGTCACCGAACAAGTTACGGCCTGGAGGAGCAATATTGACGTCGTACCGAGCCGCACGCCACTTATGCACCCATTCGATTCGCATCGACGTATGCTGTCGATCTTAAATGATAGGCCCTATATTCCCCGCGAAGCCCCGCACGACGCGCCTCCGCTCGATGCTAGTGAGTGGGACAGGCGGTTCTTGCTGACGCTCCTCGACAAACAACGCTACGACAACAGGAAGGCGGAGGAGGAGCGGGAACTGTTCTGGTGCATTGTCACCCACAACCCGCTCGCTGAGCCCAATGACTGGGAGGACTTCGTGCACAGCAAGAAGGACGACATGACCCAGCATCATCGCGGCAGTCGCGATGAACCATCCAACACCATATACAACAACACAGCATCAGTCAGCCCATCGGGGTGGACGACAATGATGCCAAACCACTTGTACCCTCCGCCGCCACCTCACCACCAGCACGAGGAATACCCAACAACCCATCCAACGCAGCCTCCATCTCTTGCCTTGGATGCTGGATATCCGGTTCGGTCCTCAAGCTGATAGGCTTGTTCGTTCAGGCTGCGTAATACCTATCTACAGAGGAAGGTTTGGGAAAGCGCGCGGCGAGGCAGAAGATGTAACTATAACTTTTTATTCAGTTTCTTGAAGTAATGATATCCGTGATGAACCGACCTTTGACAGCTTCCTAGGACCACGAGCAAGATACTCGAGGAGTCGCCACGATCGCCACACTGCCGATAGGCACTTTCGGCCTCGAGAATGTTGTAGCTTAGAGGGATAGGGCTTTGGCGACTCCTCGGAGTGAGAGAGGAGTGATGCTGCTTACCTGCGAGGGAGAGATTTTGGTGAGTGCATTGTTCTGGTACAGAAATTGGGGAACTCATTGGTAGTAGAAGAATCACATGAAAGTCACCAAGCAAGTTACAGCCTGGAGGAGCAGGATTCATATCGTACCGAACCACGCACCACCTATACATCCCTTCGATTCGCATCGACATATGCTCTCAATTCTGAACGACTCCTCCTACGTTCCCGGCGAGGCCCCAGACGACGCACCGACACTCAATGCTTGTGAGTGGGACAAGTGGTTCCTTCTGACGGTCCTCGGCAAGCAACGCTACGACGACAGGAAGGCGTCGGAGGAACGAGAGCTACTCTGGCGTACCATGCACCACGACCCACTCACCGAGCCCAACGACTGGCTGGACATCATGCATAGCAAGAGGGGCGACAAGACCCAGCACCATCGCGCCAGTCGCGATGAACGCACAAACACCATATACAGAGATATGACGTCGGTCAGTCCATCGGGGTTGGCGACGACGACGCCAGACCACTCATACCATCCGCCGCTGCCTCACCACCAGCAAGAGGCATACCAAACAACCTATCCAGCCTCACCACCTCCGTCTCTCGCCTTGGATGACAGATATCCGGCTCGGTCCTCAAGTTGATAGGCTTGTTCGTTCAGGCTGCGTAATACCTATCTACAGAGCAGAGGACGGTTTGGACAAGCGCGCGGCGAGGCAGAAGATGTAGCTATAACTTTTTATTCATTTTCTTGAAGTAATGATATCCATGATGAACCGACCTTTGACAGCTTCCTAGGACCGTGAGCAAGATATCTTCCCGTCGGTAGTTATCGGGTAGGTGCTTCAATAGCAATCTGCAGTCCTTTCCAGCGATAGCGGGAATGCGGGGTAACGCTTGCTGAGGTCGCTCTCGACAGATGGTAAGAGTCGCCAGCAGCGAGTTCTGCTGTCGTGGTGGAAGGAAGGGAAGAAGGAAGGATGATGGTCTGCCGTCACAGTCACGGCCTTCCTTGCTCCCCACGTCCGTGAATAATCCTATTTCTCTCGATATTAACAGTGTTTCCTGTTGCGCCTCCCCTTCAGACCATGAACGCTGTGTGTTGAAGATAAGAAATGGTACGCTTCCTGCTACATACCGGTGTCGCTTCATTGGTTGACTAGCGAGAACAATCTGGTTCCTGTGGATCTGTCTCCTTTATCTCTTCTCTACCGGTCCTTTCCACGCTGACGAGCATACAAAGCGCCAATTTATTGGCTGGGTGACGATGATGGCGCTGTTAATTGACGAAAGCCGGTACGTCGTCGTGTAATCACCATCTTTATCCTCTTAAAGCTCTCTTAAGGTATTGCTTTTGGTCAGAACAGGATCACTTCTTGCTTGCCAGTCCACCACATTTGCTCGACGATGACGGATCGTCACAGTGACAGTCACCGAAGGCGTCGACGGGGTAATACGAAGGTATCAAGCTCGCCTAGGATTCAATAATACCTCTCCCAGAATTCCTACTTTTCGTATATGTACTCCTAACCCACCGCGCAATGTGACGGTCCCCAAAGCGCACTGGTAGAGCTCCAGTAATGACGAAGAATCATAGTTGAGGCGACTTCTCTGTGCGCCATTCGTTCAATTCTTCTATTCAGCTAGTCTTTACGCATTTCTCCAGGCCTCGAGACAATGTCTTTGGTCGACCTGCTGACAAAACAGAATCGGCGGTGAGCGATCATGCAGCCCAGTTACAGTGTTTAAACGCCTCCACTATCCCGGCCGCGCGTGTTCTAGTGGACCTGATGTCCAGACGAACTCGCCATTAACGGTGTGTGGGATGGGTAGGTATACTATTCCCCCGAAAAGAACTAACATCTCGTTTAGGAATCCCTGTATTATAAGGCTCCATATATTCGCTAGTTGGAAGGCACGTATGGCATCATGCCCTGAATTTAGGCTGGGACACCTTGATCTCGATTTTTTTCAGTGGTTTCTAACTTGATGATGCATTGATGGCCCGAGTTGTATCCTTACTGGGGGTATGTATGCTGGCTTTGTCCTGGATTATCTCCGAACTGACTATCCTAACGCATTGTTTCAGGTATCAGTTCGACTTACAGAGAATAGCTGTTGTTATTTCTATTGCCATATATTCTCTTGCTTTTAGGTGCCGCTCGCTAAGGATCTGTGGACTTAAGTGAATCCGGAGACAGCGCGGCTGACATTGTCTGGGTGGTCCAGGCGAATGCCTGTCTAATCTCAGATTCACCTTGACTACTGTCGACACCATCTTCGCATGTCGACCATCCATATCGTCCGTTCGTAACCTCGACGCGACGTAACACGCCCTTCTTTCCTCCTGTCTTTGTGTATCTGCGGAAAACCGGCCCTCCAAGCAATCGTTGTTCAAGTGACTGATGCTCATTGTTCTCCAACGAGTGGCTATGAACCTGAGTCAGTTTTCATACTAGCAGCAGAGCAAATAGTCGCACATCCATGGCATACTCCGGGAAGTATTTCATTATGACGGGATGCGCCCTTGTGACAACGTAAAGGTGGATCAAGGTGGCTATATGTGCGCTGATTATCAACTGTGGTGTCGCTCATGTTATGATCCCTAGTCACCACCAGTGGCTACCTAATTTTGCTTGTATCGTCACCGATACTGTCGCGACTTGTTGATATGCTTTCGGCGATATGCAACCAACTTTCTGCCTGTACTTATTCTTGGATTAGCCAGATACTTCCGTAAACGTCAGATCCCATCGAAACATTGACGGGCTGGTATTTATATTTGCCTCTCATTCTGTTTCGATTAAGCCTCATCACCCAGTAAACAAACCTATTGTTTCAATGCGCTCTACATCACAGCTAGCGACGACATCTTTGTGGCAGATTCTTCCAGAGAATATGTCTCTCGAAGAACGGATTGAACTTACATATGCAAGGTGCAAGTCTGTCGTGCAACATTTCAGTAAGTGTCAATGATTCCCGCCAATCTTTGAATGCACTCATTGCCGCCGAAGATCTAACAGCCAATGATATACTTAATGTCACACCGAGATATTGGGCGTTCCTTAACGATCCTTTAATGGTCACGGATGTCTCTGTCGCGACACTCCTGAACATTCACTTCAACCTCTACGTTGGAACGTTGGCAATGTATTTGGATCGTCGTCCAGACCTCAAGGAAACCATCGATCGCCTTCTCAGTTTCGAATGGAAGTACGTCTGATGATCCTGAATGGCGGATTCTCTTTCTAATCCTTGTCTCAGCGGGCAATACTGTCTTACGGAACTTGGGCACGGTCTTGATATTATTAACATGGAGACCACGGCGAGATTACAACCAAGTGGAGAGTTCGAGTTTCACCCTCCAGTAGCCCATGCAGCAAAGTCAGTAGTCCAGATCTCCTCTAAAATAACATTTGGATTCTACAGATAAGAAGGTTCATGTAACCGACTGCTCCATCTGGGGTTCCTTGTGTATCCATCGTACACGCTCGTCTCCTTGTCGGAGAGGAAGACCGTGGACCTAAGGTCTTTCTTGTCAAACCCCCCGACGGAAAATGGATGAACGAAGGAGTCATATCCAAGTTAGCAGGAAATATCACAACGCTACAAACTGAACGAAGGAACTAATCATGTTTTTACAGAGTCCTCTGTTGAGAGTACGAGCCACGACCGCAGGTACAGTCGTATGGACTCCAAATTAGTTAGCAATCTTCACTGTTTACACAGCCACACATCTTAGCGACTTACCGCCTGCTAAGATATACGTCTATTTTCTTGCTCCAGTTGCTCCAGGCCAATCCTCGCTGCACTCGCTTTGCCGCGAAGTCTCGCTGTCATGTCCTCCCAGATTCCCCGGTCCACTACTCAACATCCTCTCCCCTCGTGGTGGGGCTCATCCGGTAAAGCACTGCCTGATGTACTTCAAGAACGTCTTCCTTCCAGCCTCCGCCTTGTTAGGATCACTTGACCGACCGAAAGATCTCCGTACTGCTTTCTTTCTCAACATATCTCCTGTCATTTTGGGTACATTGTCCATGGGTGCTATTGGAATCTCGTCTATAGGATTTCATCACATATTGCAGCTAAGTACAGTCTCCGGCGTCGAGTGGTTGACTCATACACTAGACAGCCAAGAGAGATCATGTCGTTTGTCACCCAGTACACACCCGTCCATATGGCCATTGCGCAGACTCTACCTATTGTGACGAGACCTGGAAAAGTCCTACATGAGCTGCCCATACCCAAAGGAACGTACATCCATCGTGGGTTACAATAGAAACAAGAATGTTTTCGGGGCGGACGCACATGTGTTCAATCCCGAAAGATGGCTGAATAGCGATGTCAAGCAGAATGCCAAAGTTTCGTTGGGGATGTACGGTAATTTGTAGGCTGCATAATTCCGGTCTGCGATAGAGGTACTCATAGCAACCTATCCAGGTTTACGTTCATCGGTGGACCTCAGTCTTGTATGGGTTGGCGGTTCGCGTATGTTTCCTTCTCTCCGCTGTATAATATTGCTTCTCACTTCCCTACAGCGTGTGCGAGCTACATGCTCTTATGGTAGAGATTATCGACAAATTTGAGTTTTCACTTACAAAGGATTGGATTCGCATTCAGAGGGAATCGTGCAGGGTAATGGTCCCCACCCTCGAAGGAGAGGTGGAGAAGGGGGCCCAATTGCCTTTGAAGGTGAACATTGCGCCTCGATAATTTTTTAATCATTATTTTTTTTTGCTTGGCCGGTGAATCGAATGTACAGGGTGGACAAGAGGCTGATCATTAGGGTTAGGGTTCAAGATCAAATTGAAATTGCAATCCTTTTCTGCAACCACGACCACTGTTTGCACGGACTTTTCGTATTCTTGCCTTCCCCTCTGTGCCACTCTATCTCTCTGCTTTGGAGATCTTCGTGGTGCCGGTATATGCAGCGCCACGGATAATGCAAATTCGGGACGACGTCATGATAGTCATACTCTGGATGGAAATAATGCCGCGCCCAGGTTCTTAGCAACTACAATTGCACCAGTAGCACCAAAGGCGTTCGAGCGATTACCAGAACATTGCGATTGTGTTAAATCAATTGAAGGAGGATGAACGGTACGTGGCCGCTGTTTGGTTGCTCGACTAAGATTGGCTTTGACCGTATCATGCGGGTTTTTCTGTGGATCTGATATACCTCGGTCTCCTGTCAGTGAACCAACTGGAGAGGGTGTCCATCATGAAAACATGAAAACATTGCTGATGCTGTCTTCATTATAACTCAGAGTACGATGTCGTACTATCCGTGAGTACCGTATATGATCGCCTTCCTATCTTTGAAAGCCCTAAAAGTTACTTTGGACAGACCACCCACGTAAAAAAATAGGCCTGCTATCTCGGCTAATGCGTTAATATGAACTTCCTTCCTAACGGCTACCACCTGGCAATGTCAGGGCGAATATCGTCAAAGGTCTTTATTCCGAGTCCGTACGCTGGTGAACCTAGTTCAATTCGCTGGCGTTCTGGAGCAATCAGAACCCGGAAAATCGACGCACAGAAGGAAGCTCGCTCTGGTTCGTGGAAAAGTTCCTTATCAATCCAAATAGTTCTAATCGTGCTTTGTAGATTCTTCGTGGCTCTGCCGGGTATGTTGCGCTCCGATGAGTCGGATACGGTATTTATTCAGGCAGACATCAGCCATAAAGACTACCTTTTCTTGAGGAGGCTTGCTACCACTCTACCCATGGACGCTTCGCTTCGACTTTCGGTAAGTGATGGTTGGTCATTTTCATCTCTATCACAGCTAACCATATCTTAGAGGGCACTTCGAATCACCTGGTATTTGGCGGCAAACCTCATTAGAACAGGATGTCTTGGATCTCCATGTCGTAACAGAATACCTCACAACCTATTTTGGGTACCATATCGATTTGATTGTCGCCCACTCTCGTGGTACGATACTCGCCGTCCGCTGGCTATGTACAACTGAGGAAGGGAAAAGTGTTTCGGGATTTGTAAATGTGTCCGGTCGATATCGCATCCGAGTGAGTGTTCCTCCATGCTACAGGCAGGGAAATGTCAAACTGAACGTGTTCTCCGCAGGGCATCTACGGTGAGGGCGCTTTCCTGATTCGCAGAATTTCTCAGCTCACGACGATCGAATGTGTAGATGACGATGAAACCAAGGAATGAAATGAAAGCTTCGCTGCTCAGGAATACCGTCTCTTGAATCTCAACGCCTTCAAGACCAAAGTTTACCCCGAAGACATAGACACGTCCGCTAATTTTGATGGGTCGCTGGTGGAATCCACGTTCCCTCAAAGAACTGATATTCTAACGACACACGGGGTGCTGGACAGGACAGTGCCGGTGTATGTTGCGTCTCCGCTGAGAAACAGTTTGCTCATCTTTATTAGGTATGACGCCATGCTGTACGTAAAGACCCTCAGCAAGCGCTACCCTGGGACGCATTCCTTGCACCTCATGGAGAATACGGATCACAACTGTACCGGACGGTACGATGAAGTGGTACGGACCATTTTTGATTGGTAGGATAGCCAATTGAAAGGGAAGCTCCAGTCAGGTGTCTGGAAAGGGACGGAAGATGTGAAGGGCAAACTGTAAGACCAAATATTGTCTTTAATGTAATGCACGCTCCATTTGTTGATAATAGGAGTGGTCCGATGTCGTAACTGCTGCTTAGTTCAAAAAACCGATAGCCCAGCATACGCCGTGGCGTGACAGTATTACGCACGTGACATATGACATGTCGCGAGTGTAACACTGTAGAAGTGGCAGGCTTTACCAAGAGAAGGCTCGTTTCCGAACACTACCATCGTCTCACCACAAAATAAGAGTCAGGTATCACTTGATGAAGATGGAGAAAGAGTATGTCGCTGAGCTTATGATGATAGGTCTACTGACCGGTTATTTAGTGCCACAGTGCATCACTCAGTATTGGAGCAGCAATGCCTCTCTGCTTGCAGTGTAATAACACATTTTTAACATCTGGATATGAGCTTCCACCTCACATCTGGAACAACATCCGCGCCCATATCTTGCCTACAACCGCAGAAGCTTGTCAAATTCCTCAGAGAATTCTCGCTGCAGAATGTGACCTCGTACGCTACCAAACTTGGCTACGTGCCACCCTGCAGATGCTAGAAAGGCAGGAGGCCCAAGTCAAAAAATACATATCCGGATATCGCTGCTACCTCAATACCCCCAGTCGACGATTCCCCACTGAAATTCTTCTTTTCATCTTCAAAGAAGTGGCATCCTCAGTAGCTGACCGTTATTTTACGATGACTCTCAGCATATCTCTCGTTTGTTCCCGGTGGCGAAACATTGCACTTTCAGAGCCGTCACTATGGAGAAACATATATGTGGGAGAGGGATGTTCTCCCGACATCAACACGGCGTTGGTGCATCTGTACAGCAAACACTCTGTTAAAGGGCCATTACGTGTCGCTGCGAACGTGACGGGCGAAGACGAGGGTTATCGATATGACCCTGCCCTATCTTCCCTTTATCATACAGACATCGGACCGCTGGAAGGAGGCCAATCTGCGACTTCCAGGTCCTCTCGATGTGAGCGTAACAAACAATGTTCCGATGTTGTTGCATACTCTCAATCTGGAGTTCATGGAGATAGCCCCCACAACAGTGCGTCACGTTCTCCTGTGCTCCCCAATTATGGACTGTCGCCCTAAAGGGTGTATAGGTCCAGGAAGTCGAGCTCCCACGGGCACAGATTAAGACGCTCGAATTTGGTGGAGGTTGCTCCAACTGTCCGTTTGATTGGGCAATAATGAGCGGCGGCACCGACGCTTCCAGAGATTCAATCCGTATTGACCGCTTCTCCGCCCTTTCTTGCATCTCATGGTCAGCGGCGATTTCCAGACCGATATACCTAATGTCGCTTCACCTAACCCTCTGGCCGACCGATTTGTACATGTTCGACGACCTCATACTTCCCTCCTTGGTTTCTCTGAAGATTTGGATGCACTCTGATCCTGAATTCGACGACGAAGATTTGGGAGGGGGCCCGATCTGGTTTCCATGCTTCATAAATCGAAGTGTCCCGCTAGAATGTTTCGAGTTGGTCATGTGCCAGAAATCTGTGATGGTTCCGAGTCAGCTCGTACTTGTTCTTCAAGCCGTTTCGTCCCTCCGGTCTCTTAAAAAATCTTCAAGACGACAGTCATGAAACTGACCAGTACTGCGACCCTAACTCTTGGAATACGATGCGGGGCCCAAGGACTTTTCGAAGTGAATCAACTTTCAGCCTTGAATGTGATTTATGATCTCCCCTTTTGCGTTTATCCTCAGGCTCATTAATGCCGGTTATTTAGGCTAACATGCGAGGCGCTGCCATAGCCGAAGGTGATATTCTAGGAATATATCTATACGTGCGTGTATCCTCTCACTGTACAACATGCATATCTAACCCGTATTTCCTCCCAGGATTTTCCATGGAACTTCTGTTAGGACATCTTTCCTCCCCTTCGACCCCGTATCTCAACAGCCTTCTCTACAAGTCATAAACTTTACGTCGCCTAATAATAGACGTTTCGTTTCAGTACATTATCATAAACCCAATCATCGACGTGTCAGCCCGTGCACGAGCTGAAAAGGCAATCCTCGTTAGAAGAGAAGAAGAAACAGCTTTATAGAAGGAATATCGAGGAGCCATAGATGTTGACGGTCGAAGGCAAAGAGGCTGTGACGTGACGGCTATCCCTCCCGCACTTCCCGTCTTTCCTTCCTTCCACCACCACGCCTGCTGGAGACGACGTCCTCCATCTCATCATGGCAACTCTCTGCGACATCTTCTGCTCTTAATTACATGACCGACTATGAGAAGACCGCCAGTGCATCGACCCCATGGTCTCTGCTCATCGGCATCGCTGATACGAAACCTACCTTGGAGATTTTCTTGGAGTACTCATGGATTTACGAGTGGTAAGAGTAGGTTGGAAATATGTTCTCATTCTAAAAAGAAATTGAATGAAACTTGTAGATAGAGCTTGACGTTACTACCACGACATGAACGTGAGGGTCGCCCCTCGTTTGTTCCTGAGCCAGCTTGGTGGGGTAGTGGCGACGACTGGGCATGGGTTATGGAATGGTGGAGGGAGCCCAGGAGGCACCATGGAAGCTGAGGAGGGTATGAGGGGCCCATCATTACTGTCGTTGTCCCCGATGGGCCGCTCGATGACATATCTACAAATGTGTTATTGTGCTGTTCATCGCGAACAACGTCGCGATGATGGGTTTTGTCGGCCCTGTTGCCGAGTATAAGGAATCCGATCCAAGCATCGAATTCCACGGGATCGGTGGGCGGAATTGGCATGGGGAGTTTTCGCGCTCGTATAGCCCACTCTGATGTTGGCCCATGTCGTCGACTCTCTCGTAGAAATAGAGAGACGATTCAGGTGTTGAAGGTGTCGAGGTCGGTGGGAAGCGCGTCGTGAAGGGCCTCGGTACTGCCAACCGCTATAGTCAGACAGGAGAGAGAGTCCGTCTCATCAAGAGCATTATGGAGAGATGCTGCCTTGAGTGGTTATGGCATAGCAGCGTAGTTCCCCTGCCAAGAATAAGTCTATCTGTTTTCTTCAACATTTGGTCAACGTGCTCACCAGAATTCTCCCAATATAGCGAAGGTCTAAATCTTCCACAGGCATTACTGCAATCCCAGTCGGACCATGCAAGATGTTCAATCGCGCGCGCTACCCCCATAGTCTCTATCTACAAGTCGGTGAGGTGTGGTTAACGGCGTCGCTGATACAGTCGTACTCACGAGAGTGTACATTCTCTCAGAATGAGTATTTAATCCTCTTCAATGCGAAGCTTGTTCGTGTCCATATTGGAATTTTGAAAGTGACAGTCCAACTTGTGGCGGTGGTCGATGACAAATTACAAGCCCTGAACACCTCCGTCTTTGTTTTGTTTTCGGAGATCTGGGAACAAGGGTACGGCTATCTTCTCTCTTGCATCTAGTAGACTGGAGATACTCTCTGCTCAGTGATTGTAATCGAAGGGTGTTTTCCTCCATGCTTGAAGTTCGGCCGCCTAATTGAACCATGGAGTGGCTCAGCCCAAACACTCAGGCCTCTGGGTTCATATCGCATATATCTGTCTCACTTGCGACATCAAGTGGCGAGAGAGCCAGGTGATCTATAATGGTTGGCTACTTCGTAGCGTTGTCGTAATTTTAGTAATAAGTTCAATTTGCCTACATTAAATAATGCATGAAAAAGCTGGGATACAGCTGCGCGTTCTGTTCACTTAGACTTCTGCAACTGCCTTCGTGGGATCGTGTACTGCTACTACTCTCATAGGTCTAAGGTCCCGAATGAATAGCATAGTACCGGTGCCATGACCAATTCGTAAGGAGAAATATATCTAATAGTGACAATTAATGAACCTGAATCGTGCACGTTGCAAGTTTGCACTGCTCCCTCCAGTCTTAACTCTGTGTACTATCCTCCATGCCCTCTTCCAAGTCCCGTCTTGCATGCAGAGATGTGGCCCATCCAGATGCAACGCAGCCGACCAGTATTGTCGGCACGATTCCCTAGTATAAACGTTGTAGTCATGACAAGGAAAGAGACGACATGTTGGACGCACTCTTATCGCACTTTCCAACTCTTCGATATAATATCCGGCTGGCTCATTCCTAACTTCCAACACGACCAGAATAACTATCACGGCAGAGTAGAGAGATGCAGATTATACAAGCATCTCTATCACTCGCTGGAATACATGAATCCTTCCCGCAGCATTTCCAACTCTCAATATACGGTAGATGATGAGAATTGTGCACCATAGCAAGGTTGCCAATATGAGCGAGGAGTATAGCACGGACCAGCTGACCACACTCTCGAGGAATAGGGCTTGGGGAGGAGTTTTTTCATCAGATCCAAAGGCAGAGTAATAGGTTATGATGCTTCTGCGGACTAGGTTTTATATTAGTGCTGATAAGTCGTAAATCATCGGGTTTATGAATTCAAAGACGTGCCTGTTGCCACGATAGTACAAGCAATCGGAACAACCACAATGCTCCACGATTGACTCCAGACAAGCCAACAGCGCCATATCTAGGAATCCGTAAGCAAGAACGGACACATAAACAACTATTAAACCTCATACCGAAGTAGCATCAGCAAGAACTGCACTCAGAGTTGCACCGACCACCATAGTCCATAGGACGGGAGTAGTAAGAGTATTGTTAGACTCGAAGGTGGTCTCCCAAAAGGTTTTCACATTAGTACATAAGAGAACCTGTGCCCATTCACCATAAAGGTTGACAGCCCCCAGAAGATACAAAAGCAGGATGATCAAAACAAGAAACCGCGACCTTCTACAATTCTGGCAGTTCTTCTTTGAAGCTAGACAAACCATCTGAGTCAAAGAGATGCACATTGAAAGAATGAAAGACACAGACCTACAGCCCCGGTTAGGTCCGGTATAGTAGTCCCAGGATCGGTTGTAGTGGTCATGATGATGATTCTGAAGAAAGAATGTATGTCTTTTGCTGAACCACCAGCGAGTCATTATGTAGTAGAGCATAACATTAGATTCGTGATGATGCAAGCAAAGTGTCACGCATTCACTCGGACGGAGGCGATGATAATGATGTGTTCTGATATTTGATATGCGGATTGGGCACCTGAGCTATCGGTCTTCAATAAGCATAGCCTTCAAGGTGGAAGTAAGTACCTCGTCTGTTTTATGATGATCATATGAAAACCCCATTGAATTCGAGCTGAAGCGCGTACAAAATTCGACCTCGAAAAATTTCTGCTAACCGAGGGTCCTGAGAGCTCAATGACGAATTACCTGTCCCTCCTGTAATGAGGACTAGGCTGAGTAGCCAAAGCGACGTAGACAACACTGAAGTCTGAGGACAAAAGGCACGAAGAACATGTAAAGAGGTGGTGTTCACAGTTCGAAGACCTTGGAAGAACAGCATCAGCGACGAGTTTCAGGAAGACCGAGAAGTTCAGGTACGAAAGGAACGAGCATCTGGACATGATAATGGAGAGACGACAGGAAAGGTAGTATCGAAATCCTCGATTTGTGTAGAAACTGGTCCAGCACCTCATCAGGCTTTCGAATAAATGAGTAGGAGGAGGAAGAAATGTTTCCCAGCAAAATGAAGGAAGCCGCTCCGGTCAGAGACTTGAATCATCTCGGAGGCGCCCAGACAGGTCGTCTTAATCTGGACATCAACACTATTTTTGTACCGATTTTTTGGGCAAGATAGATCCCTCATTACGGATGCATTTATGACATTTGCTGCTTTTTCAATGTTGTCACTATCAAACAGAGGGTGGAGCTATGTTCTGTCCATCTGTCATTCAGGCATATGGTGCTGATGGATTTATTGTTCGCCATATCTTGATACAGAACTACGTTGAAAGCCTTTGGGTGATGATAACCAGGTGTACTCAGATGTCAACATTTCGTTCTTTGTCTCATGCACTTCAAGTGAGTTATCAGGACCAGGGGCCCATGCTCGAAGGAAGTGACGGAATGAGGCTAGATAATCAGGGAATCCTTTCTTCACCCTCGTTTCATAATTATCGAGCTCCCATAAGTGACACCTTGAATGAATAACACCAGTCGCCACGCACTTTAAGGTTTTTCTTTGAAAAATAGAGATCGCGCCTTGTACCTACCACAAGGTGAGAGCAACAAGTGAGGCAGGTAGTCATGTATCATCGTCAACAAGTTTCATGAACAAGTAGCCACGCCAATGAAAGGAACACGCACTCGAGTGGCAAGGGCGCCCAGAGATGAGCAGCCTTTTGAGAGCCTCAATAAGAACTAGCGGAATGTTCTTCACACCAACATCGCGCATGCATAAGTTCGCATACGGAGAAGAGTTTTCAACATACGATAAATAGTCGCAACAGGACGTTCCGGCACACTAACATGCCTAGGCTAGGCGCATTCCTATGTGCTGGCACCACTCGTCCTTGGATAATTTGGGCATCTGATGAGGTACGGGAATGTTATCGATGGAACGAAGGAAAGACGCAAAGAGTTGCCATCACTCGATATCTCAAAAAGCGGCCTCCCAACTTCATTGCGATGCAAGACCGGGTGAAACACCTTGCCTTGGAACCCAGTAAGCGAGTGGGAAACATCAAAGAACACACCTGTGTACCTTGACACTACGACTTTGATGCGAGCCACAGTCGAGGCCAGTCGCCACTCGATTTGTAGCAGGTAAAAAAAATTCTGATTAAAACCAGACCTATAGAAACGGTACTCTCAGCCTACATGCTGCGAACCAGATGTTATATGCAAGAGGAGATACCGTTGTTTCCTGGTGTTCGAAAACAAAACAAAGAGAGGCGTTCAGGGTTCCCAATTTGTCATCAGCTACGGCCACACAAGGTTGAACTCTCACTTCCAAAGTTCCAATATGGACCTAGACTCGCTTCATACTCAAGAGGATGAGACACTCTGTGAGAGAATTTACTCCCTGGTGAGTGCGATTTCACTGGTGATGCTGATAGCCACACCTCACCGGCTTGCAGGTCGACACTATAGGGATTGCAGGAGCGATTGAATCCATGCCTAGGACAACCGGTGCCCCAGTAAAGCCCATGGAAGATTTAGACCTCGGCTGCATTGAGAGAAGTCGGGTAAGCACCTCGCCGAAACGTTAAATAAAGTAAAGATCAACTCATTCTCAGCAGGTGAACTATGCTGCCATGCCACAAACACTCAAGGCTCCCCATAATGCTCCTCGCAACGTGCCTCCCACTGATCCCGCCACATTTGATGCCTGGATCGTCTCTCTCTTTCTCTGGGAGAAGGTGGATGACACATACCAGCACCCAGAGTGGCTACATGAGCGCGAACAGCCTCCATGCCAACCTCCACCCACTGATCCTGCGGAATTCGACGCCTGGATTGTCGCCATGATACGAAGCAGCAAGGCCGACAAGACCCATCATCGCGACGTTGTTCACGATGAACAGCCAAATAACACATTTGTAGATATGTCATCGAGCGGCCCATCGGGGTCAACGACAGCAATGACGGGACCCTCGTACCCTCAGCTTCCATGGTGGATCGTGCCTCCGGAGCTCCCTCCACTGCTCCATAACCCATGCCCCGTCGTGCCCCGTCGTCACCACTACAACCCCGAGCTGGCTCACTGGCACCAAAGGAGAGTCGTCGGTTATATTCATGCCCCATGCGCATATGTAGCGATGTCCAGTTGTATCTACAAGTCTCATTCAATTTCTTTTCAGAATGAGAATATCTTTCCAAACTCACTTGTTCGAACCCTGCAAGCCCATCAATTCGAAGTACGTTTTGTGTCAGATGTGTCGACGGGCAGAGATGACGGTGCCATTCGCCGACTGGTCTTCCTGTCATTGGCCGCTCTTCGCCAAAGAGAAGCCAGCAAACAACGTCACCGATAGCAGCAATAAACAGGCAGAAGGTGTTGTTCCCAGCAGCGGGCTCACGTATTTGCTGGTAGTGGTGGTCGAGAGAAAGGATGACGGAGTCACGTCACATTTCTCTTTGCCGTAGACCTCAACGTCTGCAATAAGTCGATATCTCTCTTGTTTGTCTTTCTTCCTGCCTATCTCCATACCTCTGATGGGCGCAAGATAGTATTCTAGTTTTGAAGAAGGAAAAGGCATGCGATCTTAGCTTTTCTGTCGCCTTCTCCTACTGAGCGAAAACATTTTACAGACTTTCTCCTGGGATTTTGTTTACTGTGGCTCAACAGAACCGCCTACGTATGTGTCGAGTCGCTCGCAGAATGAAGGGCGGTACTGGACAGGTGATATTGGGCATGGAGCGGGACGGTCGTTACACTAGTAAAACCGACACGGAGACGTGCTTCTGCCCGCCATCCTCCTCTTTTTGTGGCTAGCATGGGCTTCCCGTACCATGGATCATGCAGGGGGAGAGTAGAATTCGGCAAGGAACATTATGTTTTCCGTTCCTGGTCGAGTTGCCCTTTCACGCAACGTTGTCTAGATCCTCGTTTCGTTCATTAACTAGACGACAGGTCTTCGAGGTAGAATACACAACAATTCCGCAACTAAGGCTAGCAGCGTTAGGCTAACTACAAGGTCTAGCTTGAATTGACGTGTAGAACAAGTATATGCAGAACCCAGGTGCGATTACAAAGAGCCTCGTTTTTGGACGACAGTCTGAGATGTTTGTAGGCCTCTTCAGTGGGAACAAAGGTGCGGCAACCAGCACAACATTCCTCGTTCAGTGACGTAGCGGCGATCTCAAGTGCATGTCGCCGTCCACGACGATACTTCCCAGGTTACGCTTTAAAGATGTTATTGGAGACGTAGCTTAGTGCTAGTTCCGCTTCGCACAACATCCAAGTATCAACTTTGGAACATGAGTTGCTACGGTCGAGTAATTGAATACCTGGGAGGGGACAGTACGGTCTTCCGCTCAATACAATGTAACTCGTTTCCTTTGTGTTCTGTGTTTGTTATTGACGATGCTTATAAGAACTGGATTCTGTCGTCAGTTCAGAGTCACCTTCATCAAACGTGACTGCTCCTCAGCCAGGTCGGTGTCTGATGTTTTCGCAACATTGGCTTACTTTGCTGACAAATCTTGTACAGCGAACGCATACATACTAGCTCTTCCCAATGAACTCCTCGAGGAAGTACTGTCACCGGAAGTACGGGGGGAGCGTTATTACGACTACACAAAAATTGGGATCGTCACCCTCTGCTCCGTTTGCAAACGTTTCCGCGATGTTTTCCTTCGGCACCTTTACCGCACCATCCGTTATCATGATATACGCAACATGAGACCGTTCCTCGACGTACTTCGCTTCTGGGGCGTCCAATACGTCGTGCACCTCGACCTGGTGCTTCACCCAATCCTCTATGTACCTGGTTACGATCTCCTTAGCATGCTTGACTTGTTCCTTCTTTCGCTGCCGAAACTTGAGGTTCTCCAGTCTTTCCGCCTCGACATCCGTCCAACGCCAAGAGACCTAGAGGACAATTACACCACCGTCATATCGGTCGTTGAACGGGCACCCGCAGATGTAGTGCCATTGTCTCCAGAAGTGGTCAATACTCTTAATTCGGTGTTCCAATCCCTTCCTCAATCACTTCGCTCACTTTCTTTGAGTGGGTTCTGTTTGGAAGATGCCACAGCAGGTCTAGCAGCTACCGAATTCCCTTCTCTACGCACCCTGTCGCTCGACCTGAACGGGACAAGCGACCCGTACACCGTCAACAGTCGGCACTTCTTGCGGGGAATGCCTCGCCTAGAAAGCATCGATCTTCCCGTGCAGTGGTGTCCTTGCAGAACGTGGTTCAGACGAGTGTTTGCCGGTCACAAATTCAAACACATCAAGATTGGATTTACTGGGCGGATGCACATGTCCGACACGGACACGCATGAGGATCATGCATGCCCATGGAACCGGTGTATCGTCGAGTTGCTCCGACAATCTTCCTCTATCCTGACGAGTCTCAACATTGGGACGATATCCCTCATTATTCCTCGCGATGTGGCGTTCCCTGCATTGACCTCGCTCACTCTTCTCGATATCGAATTTGGCTTTGATGCTGGTAAGGAGCTCAAAGGACTCCTGGCGCCCTTTCTTAGCTCTCCGTGTTGGTGGGACTTATTGACACCCATTGGCCAAAGTTGAGGAAGCTTAGCGTGTCGGAGCTCACTACCGTTAAGGACGAATACGATCCTCCGGATCTTTACCCTTATTCGCGTTGTTTGGGAAATGATGCTGCTTGGGATCCGAAGACACGAAGAGAGCTTGAAGCGATATGCGAACACCGGGGGGTGGATGCATGGCTGGATTGGGGGTACGCAGACTTACCCTGGAGGGATTAGGATTCCTCATTAGCAAGTAGGAAGCCCGTATTATCTGTACTGACTAGTGTCTGATACTGTAACAAAGAAGAAATTATCATCTACTACTGTTCATTCCGTGATACACAGATTCGAAATCGTCTTCACCCAAGGCACGTAGATCGTCGGTATCACTCTCCGTGGT